GTTCTTTATAGTTGATATACATTGTATGCATGTTATATAAAGTTTTAGGGTTGTATATAGATGAATATTGAATATATCTGCTTAGGGTTTCATTTTGTACAAGACTTATGTTTATCTCTTATGTAGTTATTGTTTCATTTGGTAGAAGATTAAATTCTAGTATTATCTTATTGTTGTAATTATAATGTTCTAGAATTATTCTTGTCATTGATTATGTGTGGAATTAAACTATGTTGTTCTTTACAATTGGGGATTTAAGCTTACCTTGATAGCATGAATAAATTGTCTATGTTGACAACTTTGTAGTAGTATAGTTGTATCCACATTGTAAACTTGATATTGCAATTGCCATTCTAGCTTGAGGACTTAGAGCATGGCTTATGCGGATTTCGAAATTGGATGTGCACGGAAGGTGGTTAAGTGCATTATATAACTATGTAATTGTTGTGACACAATTGTTGTGTAATGATCCGGTCATTTCCTTCCTTCCTTTTTTTTTTTTTTTTTTTTCGATGATGTCTTTTTTCGTCCATTTCCCTATTTTATCTTTGTCCCGTTTATCGTTTTTCCTTGCGGAACCTCACTTTTTGTGCTCGAATTTGATTCCAGCTTTGCATGCATCAATAATATTTGAATTCCATGATAATTGTATTTTAACTTTTATAGAAAATACATTCTAGTTGCTTACTTTTTCGTAAAGGGCATGGATGCATACTTTCTTGGAATTATTCTTGATTTTGGGGTTTTAGTGTAATTATGTAAAATAATTATTTGGAAGATATTTTGAAAAATGACATTTTTGCAATTTTTGGGAAGTGTGACAAGTGTCACACTCTCATGGAGCCACTTGTTGCCATTTGAGTGGGGAGACTTAGATGCATAATCTTGTGACATTTGGAGGGTGGAGATTCACCCACTTGTTGGCCTAGGATTAGTGCACTTGTTGGCTTGAATGGTTGACAAGTGTAGGCTTAGGATTAAGCTTAGGAAGGAGCCTTGGATTTGTGACAAGTGTAGGCTCACAATTGAGTCTTGCATTGTGTGTGTGAGAGAGGTAGTGTAAGAGCACATAGTGAGTGGAGGAATACTAGATCCTCCACTCACCATTTTCATTTCATTCATTTCATTACACTTGTTCTTCAAAACCCTAAACCTAGCCACCATTGATGAAAAGCTTGGTTTGGAGCTTCTAGCTTCATTTTGGCTTCCTTCCACTCACCTTAGACCATAAACCTTGGGAGACAAAAGTTTCCTCTCACTCTCCTCTTCATAACCCTAGAATTGTTTTCCATTTTGAGCTTGGTTGCTTGGGATTATAGAGATTCAATTCTCAATTGAGGTAGGGGTGGTCATATGTTTATACTTCAAGTGTTTTAAGTCTTTTGGGGTTTAATATATATTGTGTACATACTTTTAATATGATAGTCTTGCATATTATAGGAAACCCTCACTTTTGACTTAGGGTTTATTGATTTAAGCATGTATAATATGTATATACCTTGTGTAAAAGAATGATATGATTTAGTAGTATGCTAAATTCTAGTATTTTCACATGTGGTAATGATATAGAACTCTTATAGAATTATTAATGTTATATACAATTCCTATAGACTTGAATTGCTATAATTATGGTGGTGATAATTCTATATCCTTGTTGATTGATAATTGTGATTATCTTGGAAGCTTGTTACTATAATGGAGATTTAGTATATAAAGCTTATTGTTGAGGCATGATTTAAATTGATAAGTTAGTGATATTGTTTTATACATTGTATCATGTTGAGGACTTGTCATTTATTATGCCATTCTAGACTTGGAACCCTAAGACATGGTTTGTGTGGTTTCAAAATACTTATGCATGGAAGGTGGTATATATGCCTTAATAATTGTGTATAAGTTTTGAGCTTGAAATATTTTGGATTCTCTTGTGACATTGTTACAAATGACATGGCTAGAGTTTGACTCTATTGCGGGAGGTATGAGTTCTCCCTATTTATAGTGCGTACTTAGGTGGCATTCCCAGCGGGTTAATGCCCGGAATAACCTTTTAGGTCTTGGCTTTATCCGAGATTTAATGCCCAAGTTTTTCACTACTTGATTTTGGTTTCATTTCCAAGTTGACAATCAATGCTTAATTGTGACTTGTGATTTTGGTTATTGGCGATTTAATGTTGTTAAGTACATTGATATTAATATTGTGTTATGATGGAATCATTGCATTAGTTTAAGATGATCTCTTAGAACACCTTGAACATAGACGTTAAGTGGAATGATTCCTTGTATTCGTCTATATTAATCTTGCCATAATGTTGAAACTTTAGGGTATACGTATATGCTTCTTCGTACGAGTAACTTGATTACTCATCCTAGTTGTGTGGGTTATTTTACAGGTAAGGAGACAATGTTCTTGGATGCTCATCATCCTTAGGGGCCTATGAGCCATTTGAAACATTTTTATATATGGACATGCACTTGTTTAGCATGCTTTACTTTTGGATGTTATACTTTTGTATACCATGGATGTATGGTATTTTAGAAGCTAAGATGGCTTCCTTCATATATAATGTGTATTTAAGTACACTTGGCAATGCTCTTTTTATATGTATAACATGAGGCCAAGGGCCATTAAACTTCAAGTTTATATGTATGTTTTTAAAACTCAAGTTTTGCCTTAATAGCCTATTTGTGAAAATGGAGGTTTAAAGGGTCAAATTTTGTAAATGGATTGAAATGAGGCCGTAAGCCATAGTAGCGTGTCTAAAACATCATTTTTTGTTTGCGGGCATACTCACATTTCATAAAACTCTTAAGTTGCAACTTTTGAACTATTTATGGAATGATTTATGGATTTTTATGCAAAATTCATGCGTGGGAGTGAGTTTATGCTTCTTTTTTGTTTTAGCATGTTATCTATGCTTGATTAAGGTTAGAAAATGTTTTCAAACTCGTTTAGGATCAATTGGAATACATGCATAGTATCAAGGTTGGACCGGGTGGGTTTTCATCACATTGTAGCATTAGCTTTTGTTGCTGTCTGCTACGTCGGTCGGTTGATGAGGGCCATCAGCTGGCTGACACATGCTCGAGGAATCATTCCAGTAGCCTTATAAAGAAAATAATCATTTTGGCAGGTTGATGATTGGGGTTCGGCCGACTGAAGGTTGAGGTTCGGCCGGCTGGTCCTTGCCGTTGGTCGACTGATCCTCCCTGGAACCTTTTGTTCCTAGTTTTCTTACACAGCCTTGTTGTACTAATGTCAGGGGGTCATAACTCTTTCATTCCTAATCTAAATTGGGTCATTCTTGAGTCTAAATTCAAGAACTTGAAGTTAGCTTTCCAATGGTACCAACCACACATCAAAACTCCAATTATAGTGAGAGGTACTCCAGTTTAAGTGAGATAGGTTCGTGGTACCTCCTAAACGGAGAATACCACTTTGTTCCTTTCCATATCTTTTCCGCCCGGACTCAGAATCAGGAGATTCTTGAGTCTAACTTCATCTATTTTTCATTGTCTTTCCAATGGTATGCATGGTGGCATCCATTTTAGTTTGAAATGACCATTTTACCCTTGGTTCGTTTTTATCGGGTTTGACATTCTTACTTCATTGCTTGGCTCATTTGAGTTCCATGGCTTCATGGGCAGTCATTTTGGTACCTTAGGGATGGCGTACATCTTTAGAGGTTATTATTATTATTTTTTTTTCACATTTCTCTTTCGCATTTTGGATCCATTATCGGGTCATCTTTTCGTCATCACTGACGCACCGTGTTTACAAAACTTGAGCCGTCACAAGTGGTATCAGAGCTCCTAGGTTTGAATACCTTGGATGACAGGCTTTGGGTGCATATCATGCTTTTGTTGATGTACTTTGATATTTTCACATGCTTTTGATAACATGTTTTGGCATTGTAACATGCTTATGTGTTTCTTGAAAACACGTTTGGTATTATGACATGTCTCTATACTTATACGCTTATGTGTTTAGGAGCATCGTTGCTTGACATGTATGCTTATTTTCTTAAGTGTTTAACAGTTTAAACAACTTTCTTTGATTGCTTTAGCATGACCATATGTTGTATACTTTGTCTTGCTTTGTGTTTTGTGCACTCATAGTGTGAGTTGCATTCGGTCATAATAACTTGCATTATTGTTGACCTCTTTCCTTTTGTGCGTTTAACATCATGGTTGTCACGCGTGGAGAGTCTTCACACCAGGGCATTGAGGAGCAGGTGGATGACACCGAGTTTACGAGGGGTCCGGGGAGGCCCAGGATTTTAGTTCGTGGCGTGGATGCTAATCCGCTGCGGACACCGATTCATGAGGAGCGAGTGGCTCAGGGGATCAATCAGGGGATCGCTAAGTCCCTACAGGAGTTGATACGCAGGTAGATGGCAAGGATACAGATTTTAGCACCTGCATCGATAGTCAATGAGGCAATGGAGTACTTCATGCGACTACAAAGGGTTAAGATTGATTTATTTGCAGGGAGTTCAGATCCATTAGTCTAAGAAGCTTGGTTGGACCTTATGGTTCGCAAGTTAGATAATATGGTAGTACCCGCGGACAGGTTAAGGATTTCCTTAACAGCTTTTATGCTCATGGGAGATGTAGATATCTAGTGGAGGTCTATTGCCAATGTCCACAATGTCAAGTTGATAACTTGGAATGAGTTCAGAGATTTGTGGTGGAGGTCTATGACCAATGTCCATAATGTTGAGTTGATGACTTGGGACAAGTTCAGAGATTTGTTTTTAGAGTGCTTCTTTCCGAGGGCTATGAGGCGGGAGATGAGGATACAGTTCACAGGTCTTTATCAGGGCACCATGAGCGTCATTAAGTATGAGACACGATTTACTTCTCTCTTTCGTTATGCCGAGGATATGGTCGCGACAGATGAAGCCAGGGCAATGAAGTTTCAGGATGGGCTCTATCTTGACATCAGGCCACGGGGCTCAATTCTTGATTTGAGGACTTACAGAGAAGTGGTCCAGAGGGCTATGCTAGCTGAGGTAGAGGAACGCGATCAGTTACGGATCAAGGGTTCACATAAGCAGCCTTGCAAAGACAATCCATCATCTTTTGGGAGTCAGTGGAAGAAAGATAAGGCAGGAACAATACACACTCATAGGGGCCACCACAGCAGATTCGTTCTACACTCACAATTCCTATATCTTCGGGATCAACTCAGGGTGTGATCTGTCACCATTGTCAGCAGCCAGGGCACATCAAGCCTTGCTGCCCACAGCTTCGACCACAGGGCAGTCAGACATCAGTTTATACGAAAATAGGGCAGGGAGCTTGTTTCTATTGTAGGAAACTAGGTCATCTTAAGAAGGATTGTCTAAAGTTGTTGAATAAGTCACATAGTAGCACAGATTCACAGATGGTACTGGTACAGTCTGTAGTGGTTAAGTTTGGTTTCAGAGTTCCTCAGGCACCATAGCTAGTGGTGCCAGTTGGCACCACAGCCAGCTAGGGGTTCTACACCTACTGCTTCTACACGTCAGTCAGATTATTATGGCAGTTCAGAGAAGGGTTCAGGGGCTCAGGGACAAGCCTACGCTCTTCGACAGACGGATGCTTCCGTAGGGACCTCTTCAGTTCGAGGTATCTTTCTAGTTTTTAGTTCTTAGGCACGGGTTCTTGTTGACACGGGTGCATCACATTCTTTCATGTCTGTATCATTTGCACATTCATTGGGTCTAGAAGTCACACTTCAGGACAGTTTTCTCTGTGTTGACACACCAGCTGGGGGTCCAGTATCTTTGGATTGTGTTTGTCAGTGTTATGCTATTGAGATAGCTGGGCGGACCTTAGAGTTCGATTTCGTTATTCTTGACATGACGTGCTTTGACATCATTCTCGGGATGGATTGGTTGTCATTCTTTCAGGCTATGATTGATTGCTTCTGCAGGAGGGTGTCCATTTGTACTCCCAAGGGAGACTGTTTCCATTTTGTGAGATCAGAGTGATTCCCACCTGGCAATGGTTTTCAGCATTGATCACTGGAGTCACCACAGATCCTACTTGGCTAGTTTGCTAGTCGATGAGGATAACAGTTTGGGCCGTGTTTTTCTGGCAGTTGTTGAGGATTTTGTTGATGTTTTTTCTGAGGAACTGACAGAGTTACCTTCTTTAAGGGAAGTTATTTTTACCATTGATGTCATTCCTGGTACAACACCCATCTCTATGGCACCGTACCGTATGGTACTAGCAGAGCTTGATGAGCTGAAAGGTCAGTTGGATGATTTGAAAGCTAAAGGTTTTTGTGAAGAAGAATGATGGGTCTTTGAGATTTTGCATCGATTATCGCAAGTTGAATCACGCTATGATTAAGAACATGCATTTTTTGCCTAGGATTGATGACTTGTTTGATCAGTTGAAGGGAGTGACATGCTTTTCTAAGATTGATTTGAGATTGGGTTACCATCAGTTGAGGGTTAAGGATGGGGATATATCCAAGACCGTTTTTCGCACACGGTATGACCATTATGAGTTTCTGGTGATGCCATTTGGTTTGACCAATGCTCCAGCAGCTTTTATGGATTTGATGAACCGTGTATTCAGTGATTATCTTGACAGATTTGTGGTGGTGTTCATTGACGATATTCTCATGTACTCAGCTTCAGTGGAGGAGCATGAGTATCATTTGAGAACAGTTTTGTAGATCCTTAGGGATAATCGATTGTATGCCAAGTTCGAGAAATGCGAATTTTGGCTACCTGAAGTGAAGTTCCTTAGACATGTCGTGTCAAGGGGTGGAGTTACAGTGGATCCATCGAAGATTGAGTTTGTGATGGATTGGGAACATCCGAAGACAGTGTTTGAGGTTCAGAGCTTTCTTGGCCTAGCCGGCTACTACAGGAGATTTGTTCGGGATTTCTCTCGTTTAGCAGCACCTATGACTTGACTTACTCGCAAGGGAGTCAAGTTCATATGAAATGAGGCTTGTAGTTCTATTTTTTAGGAGTTGAAGGTCAGATTGACATCGGCTCCAGTTTTGATCATACCTGAATGTGGTTTGGGTTACGTGGTTTATTGTGATGCTTCGCGAGAAGGTTTAGGGTGTGTTCTGATACAGACTAAACGGGTGGTAGCTTATGGGTCTCGACAGTTGAAGACTCATGAGTTGAACTATCCGACACATGATTTAGAGTTGGCAGCGGTTATCTTTGCCCTGAAATGGTGGAGACATTATTTGTACAGGGAGAAGTTCAAGGTTTTCTCCGATCACAAGAGTCTCAGATATCTCTTTTCTCAGAAGGATTTGAATTTGAGAAAGCGTAGATGGGTCAAGTTCATAGAGGACTACGACTTTGAGTTGCAGTATCATCCAAGAAAGGCCAATGTGGTGGCTGATGCATTGAGTAGGAAATTACAAAGTACTCTTGCTAGCATTTTCGTCCGCAGATGAAAGATGCTAGAAGAGCTTGTAGATCTTGGTTTACAGTCGTATGAGGATGTTTCACCGGTTATTTTGTTTAGCCTTGTGGCTCAACCAGCTTTTGTGGGTAGAGTTATTGAGGCACAGCAGGAGGATGGGGAGATGAAGTCCATCCACGATTGAATTTCAGGCGGCGAGAATGTAGAGGGTTAGACCTTGCATTAAGATGGTGGTCTCAGGTGTAGAGGAAAGATGTTTGTTCCTTTGTCTTGTCATGGCTTTGTTCTTTAGGATTTTTACCATTCTTGACTCGCAGTTCATCCTGGTGGTATGAAGATGTATCACAATTTGCGAAGATAGTTTTGGTGGAAAGGTATGAAACGGGATGTTTCTCAGTTCGTGGCTAAATGCCTTACTTGTCAGCTAGTGAAAGCAGAGCATCAGAGACTAGCAAGTTTGTTGCAACCACTACCAGTGGCAGAGTGAAAGTGGGAGCACATCACTATGGATTTCGTGACGGAACTTCTGAGATCTAAGACAGGGAATGATGCCGTTTGGGTCATTGTTGACATATTGACTAAGACGGCTCACTTTTTGCCTATAGCAGTGGCAGATGACACGGAAAGACTTAGTGGATTGTATGCAAGGTAGATTGTCAGGCTTCACGGGATTCCAGTAGCCATTGTTTCAGATAGGGATCCTAGGTTCACGTCTCACTTTTGGCAGAGTTTTCAGGAGGCTCTTGATACAGGGCTTCATTTCAGCATAGCATTCCATCCTCAGACTGATAGTCAGTCGGAGCGTACCATTCAGATATTAGAGGATATGCTACGGGCTTACATTTTAGATTTTGGGGGTAGTTGGGAAGACTACTTACCCTTGGTTGAGTTTGCCTACAACAATAGTTACTAGACCAGTATTGTCATGGCACTTTTTGTGGTGTTGTATGGCAGACCTTGCAGATCTCCAGTTTGTTAGACCGAGGTAAGTGATACAGTCACTTTAGGTCCTGACATTGTCTTTAAGACTGCAGAAAAGATTAAGTTGATTTGATAGCGGTTGGCTACAGCTCAGAGTAGGCAGAAGAGTTATGTTGACAGGAGGAGGAGATCCTTGTCTTTTGAGGTAGGGTACCACGTCTTTATTAAGATTTCTCCACGGAAGGGACTTCTAAGATTTTGGCAGATGGCCAAGTTGTCTCCTAGGTTCATTGGATCATTTCAGATTTTGGAGCGCGTCGGTGAAGTTGCTTATCGTTTGGCGTTGCCGCTAGACTTGGATAGGGTTCACGACGTCTTTTATATCTCTATATTAAGGAAGTACGAGCCGAATCTGTCGTATGTTTTACGGTGGATAGATATTGTTGTTGATAAGGATGTGACCTACGAGGAGGGTCCAGTCTAGATTTTTGACTCACGGGAGCAAGTCTTGTGGACCAAGACCATTCCATTGGTTAAGGTCTTGTGGAGACATCATGGCATTGAAGAGGCTACCTGGGAGCTTGAACAGGAGGTTCGTTCTCGGTATCCCAATTTGTTCTCTCTTTTAGGTATGGGTTGATTTCGGGGACGAAATCCTTTTAAGGAAGGTATGTTGTAATGACCCGGTCATTTCCTTCATTTTATTTATTTATTTATTTATTTTTTTTGGTGATGTCTTTTTTCGTCATTTTCCCTATTTTATCTTTTTCTCGTTTATCGTTTTTCCTTGCATAACCCACTTTTTGTGCTTGGATTTGATTCTAGCTTTGCATGCATCCATAATATTTGAATTCCATGATAATTGTATGTTTACTTTTGTAGAAAATGCATTCTAGTTGCTTACTTTTTCATAAAGAGCATGGATGCATACTTTCTTGGAATTATTCTTGATTTTGGGGTTTTAGTGTAATTATGTAAAATAATTATTTTTCATCTTAGGGACCATCTTGCAATTTAATTTGGAAGATATTTTGAAAAAATGATCTTTTTTGCAATTTTTGGAAAGTGTGACGTGTCGTATTCTCATGGAGCCACTTGTTGGCATTTGGGTGGGGAGACTTAGAAGCATAATTTTGTGAAATTTGGAGGGTGGAGATTCACCCACTTGTTGGCCTAGGATTGGTGCACTTGTTGGCTTAGATGGTTGACAAGTGTAGGCTTAGGATTAAGCCTAGGAAGGAGCCTTGGATTTGTGACATGTGTAGGCTCACAATTGAGTCTTACATTGTGTGTGTGATGTCTGTAAAAAAAAAAAAAAAAAAAAAAAAGAAAAGAAAAGTCAAAGGGTGGTGGTGGGACCTACCACCCACTCACTTTTAATGGTCTAGAGACCATTTTTTGGATCTTACTTTCTCTCTCCCCGTCAATTTCCTTCTTCCTCTCATTTCACATCATTTTTCTTCTCTTCTTGGAAGCCAACTTTGAATCAGGATTCTAGCTTCATTTCTTGCCGGATTAAGGTGCCGTTTGAGGTAAAACGACGAGCACGACGAGCTCTACGTGCTAGTACCAAAAATTCCTGCTTTTGGTCCTCTTTGGGAGCTCGAATTTAAGAACCCATTTCTAGGGATTTTGCTCATTTTGAGGTAGGGGCATCTTAATCCACTCATTTCTTGTTCTATTGTGAATTACACCTCCTTGTTGTGTCAATCATTTTAATTGGGAGTTAATTGTATCTATGATTGTATAAATGATGTCTAGAGAATTTTCAAGAGCTTGATTATGACTTGTTTCATGTGTAAAATATGTTTAGATGTTGTTTGATCATGCCCACTATGTGTTAACATGCTGAAAATGATTAATGAGAACATGTTTATTTAGATTGTGCCAAATTTCCCATTGTCATAACATTGAGATTATATGTACATCCATGCACATGTCATTGGGATGCATGAAATGGGAGAATTTGTCTTGAAATGAAAATGGGGGAAATTTTGGGAGAAGAGTTTTGTCAAATAGTTTTGATAAACCTGGTCGCTGCGGGGTTACCAACGGGCCGAAGGTTAATATAGCCTAGAGGGGACTAGGGAGTCGCCCTAGCGTGGTTGAGCTATTCGGGCCCCTCGATGACGTTGCGGGGTTTCCAAAGGTCTAGGGACGATAGCCAATCCTCCTTTTGTGTCGCGGCGGGGTTACTAAAGGGCGGGCTGTATTAACATTTGAAAGTAATGGTTTGGTGAATGAAAATGGGGAGTGGCATTCGCATGCATTGCATTTCATTGTGCATATTGTTTTAATTCCCTATAGTGCATGATCCCTATTTCCCATTGGCCTATGCTTTGTTTGGATTCACAAGGACACAAGAATTGTGTCTTAAGTGTCACCTACTGAGCTTTATGCTCACCCTACTATTTATATTATTTTTTTTCAGGTCTTGGAAACGAACTGGTGGACGATAATCCACCTTAAGCTTGAAAGTTGTTAGAAGGTTGTTTGCTATTTTGTATTTGACCGTTTTATGTATATTCATAGTTGTGGGGATGTAACTAAGTTAGTATTCATGGCCTTGTAACTTAAGAACGAACTTATCTTTTGCTTGATGTAAATGAAACTAATGGAATTATGGTATATGTTTCCATGCAATTGTATCATGTAACGTTGTAAGATAGGGACTTTAAATCTTAACCATGTATTTTGGGACTGTAATTATGATAATTTAGATTAATTGGTGTATGGATGTTCCACCATGAGAGGAACTATGTTGAGGTATAATGAACGGATGAATGAGATGCTGGATGATATTATGTGTTTTGTGTATTGGGACAGGTTGTTGAAGACCCATTTTTAGGGGAGGTTATGCATAATTTTTTTTTAAATTTTGGCATCAGCTAGGGTCGTTACAGTGTGTGTGTGAGAGGTAGTGTAAGAGCACATAGTGAGTGGAGGAATACTAGATCCTCCACTCACCATTTTCATTTCATTCATTTCATTATACTTGTTCTTCAAAACCCTAAACCTAGCCACCATTGATGAAAAGCTTGGTTTAGAGCTTCTAGCTTCATTTTGGCTTCCTTCCACTCACCTTAGACCATAAACATTGGGAGACAAAAGTTTCCTCTCACTTTCCTTTTCATAACCCTAGAATTGTTTTCCATTTTGAGCTTGGTTACTTAGGATTATAGAGATTCAATTCTCAATTGAGGTAGGGGTGGTAGTATGTTTATACTTCAAGTGTTTTAAGTCCTTTAGGGTTTAATATATATTGTGTACATGCTTTTAATATGATAGTCTTGCATATTATAGGAAACCCTTAGTTTTAACTTAGGGTTTATTGATTTAAGCATGTGTAATATGTATATACCT